TCTCCAGTCCCTCTATGTCCTTGTCATTTCAAATGCCTTTTGCCAGGCACACTTGGAATATGCACCCACAAGACTCCTGCTGGCAAACACCACATTTAGTACTAAACAGAGTAGGGGTGGGAGGGCCTCCTACAGCAGCCAAGCTGCATAGAATACCTGTCATACTCTCAGCACCCACCCTCTGCCACAAATGTCTCGCAGAAGAAAGCAACTGAATCAGGCAGACCACTGTCAGCAAAGGTTTCAGTCTTAAAAGCGTATTTGCAAAGGATCTCTGTTTCAGACAAAAAAGCACAAGATTTTTCTCCCAACAAAAATAGCTGAAGAATCAGATTTCCACATCCTTGGGGTTTGTATTAGTGTCATTGCTCACTGATTCAGACCTTGCTATTAAGGGTATATATTGTTTATCCTACACGTGACGTTCCCAAGAGTTGTTTCCCGTATTTGCCCAAATCCACCCATGTTTCCTGCAACCACAGTAAGTGGTAAGTTGGTAATTCAAAGTGAATTTAAAATGTACCTGAAACACTCTGCTTGTCTTCTCTGGGATAAATTATCTCTGAAGCATGAACATAGTGCAGTTTGCTCACAGAAAACTTTCGCCACGGTTCTTTACAGCTTCTGAAAAGCAAAACATGCATCTTCAAAGGAAGAACTCCTTTGCCCAGCTTCTAGCACAGGCTCTTTCACCAAATTTTGTAGAAAATCACTCTCTCCATCACACGCCCTGCCACAAGCCACATTTAATCTCTCTGTACAAAACACATTCTGCTCTGGACAATGAGGCACCTGGAAGAGAGCAACACAAAGCTGTAGGACCTAAACACACGGGGTTGGATCACTGTCCTTGTGCTGCCCTGTCTTGCCCTCACAGGAGAGGCAGGCAGAGCCTTGCCTCTTACACGCTGTGATTTCTTCAAGAAAGCTCCACTGTGCACATATGGCACTGAGCATAAAGAGTAAGACTGCAGGGTGATTTGAATGCAGCCTCTAGATCCAGTGTCAGGCATGCCACCAGTGAGCTACAAGGATGGAGAAACAGACCCTGTTCCCTTTTCCACTGGTGACACACACCTCCAGCTCCCTCCTGTAGCCCTTTAGGAGGGGAACTCCTCCAACTCCATTGCCCAAAGGCTGTAAGGAGCAAGGCTGGGGCAGAAAGCAGCATGGGAAGTAGCACCTCTTACCAGCCATGCCTGGGAAACAGATTTCTGGATTGCCATATAATAATTCCATCAACAGCAGGTAGAGAGGTGATTTCACACAGCCACAATTTACACACAACTCTTCAGAGAGCAAAAGGAAGCCATCACACCACCCTTTGTAGTCAAAGCCGTTCTGCTCCTCCTACATTTTATCCTCAATGCAGAACACTAAAGGGAAAACTATACCCTGTTTTCTGTTACAGGTACTTAGTGATAACATGATATCCGTGGTACACCCAAGGAACTTCTGATAAGGAATATCCTTAACCCTGTCAGTTTTATTTATGGAGAAACTTGCAGAAAGAGGCTGACAGAACAAGTTTCATAATATGAGAATTGGTGAGCAACAGTCCCAGAAAGCAGCTCATTCACTGAACGCAGAGCACCTTGATCAGGGATCAGGTTTCCTGACCGCTGGAATTACCCTTTTCTCTTCAAAGATACAGAGCCTGAAATCTGAACCATGCACAAACACCCAAGCTTTTAATATTCACCTCAAATGACTTGTCTTTCAAAGAAGCACTAGGGTGTTCAGGCACCATTGACCCGAACGCCCTTTCCCCATGCCTGAAGCATTTGCATTCCTTTCACCACATCTTTCTAACCTCTTAAGTAACAGCAACTTGTTACTTCTACTGATGTTACCAGATGAAAGAAAAACGATGTCTTCACCAGTGAGTATTCCAGTGGAACAAGCTTTCAGTGAACTACACTATGCTGAGTCAAGAGAAACAGGTAAATGTTCATAGTTTGCTTGCAAGAGCCATCAGCACCATTTGGGATTCCAGCATATAAAAGCTGATGACTTGGCAAAGCCAGAGGCTTTTTCTGCACATTGTGTCCCTCTGAACAATGACTGCAAAGTGACACAGGAGAAGCTTCTTAAGAGAGAGGGAAAGACCAAGCACAGCATGACTCAAAGACCCAACCCTACAATCTGGTAGCAGAAATACCATGCCTGTGGTGCAAGAACAAGCTTGTACTTAGCCCTTTTTTTCTTTAGAGAAACCTTCTACAATTGACATGGCCCAGGAATACTTGCCTTCTTGTCTCCTTCCATGACTGTATTTCCTGTTTCCTTTCCTGCCACACATGTAATATTAGGGTGTTTCTTCCCCCCCCCGCCGATGTCCTCTCTGTGTCCTCACATCCATTCCAAAGCAGGCCAGAGCTTGGAGTACATGACAAAAGGATTCCTGTCCCCTGCTTTATAAAATCTTACTTGTCAGCAAAGAGAAGAGGGAAGAGACTTTATGTAACATCCAAACAGTAAGAGCAATGCATTTCTGCAAACCAATTCTTTTACCACTCCACACCGCAGGCTTTTACAGCATGGCATTGGATAGTAGTGTCATTGAACTTGGAGCTTAGGACTATAAATATTTAAACATACTTTTACTTCCTGTCCTCCTTCCAGCATTGGAGGGACTGGAATTTCCCTAGGAAAGAGCAAGAGAAACACACTTTGGGTATCATTTCAGCATAAAAGCACAATGTAAAGATTTTACAGCACAGTCCCATGATTGTGAAACAGGATGGAAACAGATGGCTCCCCAGCCTCTAGGTCACCCTACTTCTTATTTTTACTTCATGTGCTTCATAACAAGAGGACATATGTAAATTGAACGTTTCTAAAGTCTAGGCTTTTTACTGGAAGAAACTAGCATCGGCCATGTTTTGCCATGGAAAATTAATTTATATTGTCAAATCTTTGCTTTTGTTCCCCAAGACCTGTTTTGGTATTAATTGCCAACATGAACTCCTTGGTACCTTTTTAGTAAATGAAGTATTCCTTACTTTTTGCAGTAAATACTTTCATGAGCACCAGTAAGACTGGTTGTTTACTGGTTCTCAGGTAAACCTCTGCTTTTGAAACAACAACAAAAGCTTTCTTTGTTGGCTTTCCTTAGTGCGTGGATGCATGCCTAACATGGATTAATGCTTTTAAAATATGGTGCACCTTCCCAGATTTCAGACCCTGGAAATGCAGGTAACAGCTCAACACTGAAAAACAGAGCCCTCTGAGGAGGGGGAAATAGGATGGCAGCAGAGAGCACTGGTTCTATTTTAAATGAATTAAGTGTTAAGCAAAGTCTTTTTGCTCTTTTCTATTCTTACATTTTCTGAACTTTGGAACTTTTCCATTACAGTTTTTTTGGTTTACAGACACTTCATTTTTATTCCATAAATCCAACTGCAGACCATTTGCCCAATTCTGCTCAAGATTTGAACTCGGAGGACCATTCAAATCAGCTGTGGAGTCCACAGAGTAAAAGAACCAGAGCTCTGGAGGGGGAAATGCATGGTGAAATATTGACTTCAGTCTCCTTCACTCTTTTAATTATCTTTATTCCATTGCTGGGCTGGCTGGATACCATGTTATTTTGCTCCGACCCCCCTGACCTGCCTCACAAACAAGGGGAGCTATTTACAAAAAACCTTTACCAAGTAATGTTTGTTTTCAGTTGAACCCTAACCTAGGCACTGATAAAATGTGGTGCTACAAAGTTTTAGTGCAATTCTTGCAAACTCGTTGGCTATGTAATGCTTGCTCCTCCACATTTGCAGCTGTTTCTTCACCCCTGCAAGGTCTTCACTGCAAATAGGACTCTATGACTTTGTTCGAGATATCTGGACACAAGCAGACAGGTTACCAGCAGTAAAAATAGAAAAATAGTACAATTTTACTATCTAGCCCTAAGGGAAATGAGATTAGCAATGAATAAACAGATAAGAAGCAACAACTGTTACTTCTTATTTATGCCACAGAACAAAATAAGCTACGTCATTGAAGCTATGTGGCTACATACTAATGCAAAACATATCCTTATGCCTATTATTGTTCAAATTGTTTTATCTAGAAGCTTTCTAGAGCAGTAACACTGCTGGAGCACTCAAGCTGTACAAAACTTGCTTGAGTTTTCTTTCTACAGTAAGAAAGATAAAGAGGAAAATCTGCAAGACTGGGAACATAAGGATGCAGAAAGGAGAAGCCAGGCAGCAATGCAGAAGTTGGCTTTGATGCCAAATATCACCATAGAGATTAACATGCCTTCCCAAATGAGGTGGGGAAGGTCAAGAAAGAAGATAATTAAGTTTTTTAAGAAGGATTCTAAGTGGTAGGCTTATAGGAGATAATCTTCCAGTATTTGAGGTCATTTCTAACTCAGAAACTTTGCGGATGAAAGCATTGTTACATGTTTGGTGTATCTATAAAGTAATAGGCTAAGGAAAGCTATTGCCCAACAGTAATACTCTCCTAACCATATAGCCCAGTACATTAAAAACATCTCCATTTTACATTAGGCAACAATTGCGGCACTTGGCACACCTGTGTACACAACAAAACACCTCTGCAGTAGATGCGCCAGGAGCCTTTTATGCTGTGAAGCTGCGAGGGATGACCTACATGCAAGCACGACTGCAAGAGGCACCGCCCAATTTATGCTGATAACCTTCGGTCTTGTCTCTTCAGACATCCTGGTGCAAGGAACTTCCAACACGCACGGTGTTTTTACCACTCTGTGCTGCAAAACTAATTACATGTTAAAAAGGAAACAAACCTTAAAACAAAACCAAAACACCAAACTTAAACTTTGCTGGTAGACAAGCATTTTTCTTCACTTCAGCCCCATGAAATCGTAAGATCTCTGAAGATCAAACCCCAACATCCTTATTTAGTTATTACCCTGTAGAACTACGATTTCTTTGGGAATAAAGGAACAGGGCTTAATCGTTCATCCTCTTCCCTCGCTGCCTTTCCTGCCGGCGGCTCCAGGCGGGGCACTCACCTGCCCGCCCCGCCGCAGCCAGGGAGGCGGACGGTGGATCGCAGCTCGGAGCCGGAGCCGATGGCGGCCGCCGACCCGCCGGGCGCCGGAGACCTCTCGCAGCTGGTGAGCCCGGCTGCGCGGAGCGGGGGCCGGGTTTGGGGCCCCGTTTGCTGCGGGGTTCCGCCTGCGTGGGCGTCTGCCCGGCACCGGGGCCGCCTCGCCTGCGAGTCCTCCCAGACAGGCGAGCGGAGAAGGGCAGGAAGCCGGCGGAGAGGGGCGGGAGGACACGCATCTAGCGGCAGGCACCCCGGGGCCCCTGCATTCTGTGTTTCTCTGGTTTTCACCCGCAGGCGGAAAACCTGCTGAATCAGCTGCAGGAGAATTTCCAGGCTCTGACTGAAAAGATAACGCTGAGAAATATCCTCTTTCGGGCCGGGTTACTTAGCCCCACGGGACGGGTTTCACGCTCCTACGGCTGCGGCTGCCCCGCTGAACCGGGCCCGGTACTCTGCCTGCGCGCTGATGTGAAGAGGAGCTTTGCCTTTTAATGTCTGGGCGATTTTTTTTTCCCCCTAGCCATCAAATTAAAACGTAATAATTGATGTTGCTAAGCGCTGTGATGTAAAGACAGACGAATTGCCCCCAAAGCCCGTTTTTACCCCTTTACTCTTAGTAAACCCTAAAGACCTCCTGAGCACAGGAAGATGAGCCCTGAAAAGGAGAAAATCATACCTGAAGGTGCTCTGAGCTTGCTCATTAGATGTACTTGCAGAAACCACCTCTGCTTTCTGAAATGGAGAATTTATTACATTTTCCATTTTTCCTGAAACTCGACCTCTCAGGAAGTGGCTGCTTTAGTGCAAGAAAATAATTATGTTTTATATGATCAGAATATCTAGTGGAAGGTGGATTGGAACTGGATTGTCTTTAAGGTCCTTTCCAACCCAAACCATTCCATGATTTATGAATATGAGCATAATGTTTTATGTAATCAGAATACAAGCAGCACTCATACTCTGTGTAGGCTGGCTGCATGGAATCACCTAAAACAGTTCTTCATAAAGAAAGCAATCTCTTACACAGAAAATACTCCAGCTTGCTCATGGGGATACAGGAAGGCATTTGAAAAGAAGAGGAACATAAATGCATATCTCTTATCTGTTGTAAGAGGAAGTGGGCATACAACCTTGTCCATGCTTCATCTTGCATTAAATGTAAGAGGCTGAAGTATGTGGAAGAAAGCTGCTTGTTTTTCTCACAGAAGAAAAAAAAAAACCCCACCTTACTCTAGATTTATAAAAAGTTATCTTTAACATTTTACTGGAAGAAATGGGTGAGCGCATTGATGACCTTGAGAAGCACGTTGCTGACCTGATGACAGAGGCTGGGATAGAAAACACCGATGAAAAAGTAAGAGTAATGAAACTTATTTTTTACTGTGTTTTAGATATTTCCACTTAGTTCTGAACTATGGGCAGCTCCTAGCATGAAAATACTCTTTATTAATCGTACTTTGTATTTACTTGGATTTTAAAGGATACTGCAATTAAAAAAAAAAAAACAAAAACAAAAAACCCCACAAAACCCAAAATTATAAGTATTTTGGATTTCTTTTTGCCAAGAGCAAAGAATGCTACCAAGTTTTCAAAAGCAAAACTAGCTTGCTGCGTCTCTTCCAGCTGAGTGCCATATACATGGGGTAGTGCATACTAATCCCAAATATAAAACTGAGGCTGTACATCTGGAATAAAATGTGTGTGGCTTAAAGCGCTCCTGCCCGCCATTCCTAGCCCTCAAGTAAGCTAACCTAGCTGACTGAGGATTCTCACTGGTATAAATTTATGTACCTCTGCTTTTAAACCCACTTCAGCTTTCCAGCATTGCTCAGAGACCACCACTTAAATACATTCACCCCAAACACAGCAGTAGTTTGTTCTTGCAGCAGTAAGACGGGGGGTGGAAGAAGCAAGGATAAATTCAGTGGTATTGCCAGATAGTCCGTAATACAAGTTCAGGATTGCGTGCTGGATTTTATATCACTGTCTGCTGCAAATACCACCCCCACTCACTCCCTTATAATGCCCTGGTGTGCTTAGTATTTACAAGACAGTATTGCTTCCATGTTCTGTGGGTGCCAGTAAGGTCACCTTCCTGTTGCGGCATGCTTTCCTGATTCAAACTTGACACATCAGTTACTCTTTGTCATTTAGAGACTGCTTACCCAGCCAAAGACAAGAATGTAAATTTACTGAAGTAATTTAAGCATCTGTTTGTTCTGATGCTTTTTTGTGTGTGTTACGAAATAATTTTTAGAAATACAGAAAGCCAATCCATGAAGATGTATTTAACTGTACAGAGATCTTCCTATTTTTATGCTGAATCACATTCATGATTAAATCACTAACCTACTTACTGTTTCTTTGCAGCAATGAAATGGGATGCGATCAAGAAAGACAAAGGGAGAACAGCACTGCACTGGATTGGGGAGTTCACAATGGGTGTTGCTAGACATGAAAAATGTTAATGAAAACATGCTTGCATCATGTCATGATAGTTATCTCTTAAAAAAAACCCCACCAAACCTACTGTCCTGTAGAAAGCTTGGTTTATTCATCTAAATGGGATGCTGTATTTCCTGTCATAGAGAACAGCTAGTTTCAGAGAAAGCAAAACCACTATTTTGGATAGAAAACTATATCCTATATAGTGAACTTGTCCAGTCACTAACTTCTCCAATGTATGAAAATGTATTTCATTTATTTCTATAATATTAAAATTTCCTTATTTTTTGTTGCCTTTTTAAGTGTTCTCAGAATAACAAGATGCTTCTATGACAAAACTTTTCTCATTGCATGTGCCATTTTGACGTTTCTTTAAATGTTTTACACTACAAAATGTACCTTATTTGATGTTACTACAATGGTGTCTTTGCAAAACTTCAAAGGCATATAGCCTGTTCTGCACTAGAAGATACGGCAGTATTTCCACAGATTAGTTGTACAGCTGTTTTCACAAGCTCACTCAAAGCTGTGCACACCTGTGCAGATAACATCATCCAGGTATGTATATTATGCCAATTTAATTTATTTAACATTGGACATTTTGATGAAATGCCTATTTTAAAGGCTTTGACATAGATAAGGAATTCTAGTTACCAAATGTGTCCTGAACAAGACATGGCAGAATCAAAGAAAATAGGAAATCTACACTATCTTTAAGGTTCTTGCACACCAAAACATTGGCACTTTTTGCAGGAAAGCTTTTGTTTGAAACTTAATGGGAACCTCTTACAACAAATTTAGAAACTGAAAAAAAGTAGAACAAAAATTTGAAGAAATTAGAATAGAAATTGAAGAAAATAAAAATATATTACCTCAACAAATAAAGGATGTTTTTTAAACCTTCAGCAGGTGTTACTATAAAGAGTCTTCATTAATATAGAGAACTCATTTTCATTGGTGCTTTAATCAGTGTAGACTGGCTAGCAATGTCAAACTGGGGAGGAGGAGGGGAAGGATTAAATTCTTGAGGACAGGCTGAAGGAATGGGCCAACAGGAACCTCATGAAGTTCAAAGGCAAGTACCAAGCCTCACCTCCAGGACAGGGTAAACTTATGCTGCAGAACAGTTGTAAGAGGCTGGCTGTCAGGAAAGGAGTCTGGCAGACAAGCTGAACACGAATCAGCAGAATGCCTTGGGCTGCAGCCACATGCTGGTCAGCATCAGCAAAAGTAGAGCCAGCAGGACATTCCCCTCTGTTCAACTCCTGTGAGACCATACCCAGAATACTGTGTTAAGTTTGGGGGCTCCCCAGTTCAAGAAATATATTGTTATGGGGGAATTTAAACAGACAGCCACCAAGATATGGTGAAGTACAAAGCATACAAGGGTTTGAGAAAATGCCAGTAGTTCAGCCTTACAAAAAGACTGTAGCTTCCTGCTGGCAACAACTACCCTATGGTAGAGCACAGAGAACAGTTAAGGCTCTCGTTGGAGGTGTTTTATGTAAGAGAGTTACAGACACAAGCTGGAATGCAGAAAATTCCAGCTAGATGCATGGGATACTTTTTTCCAAGTACGAAGGTGCTCCAGCAGCAGAACAGGCTTTTCAGAAAGACTGAGGAATCTCCATCCTTACAGATATTCAACACTGGACATAGTCCCAGGCAATCTGATCATGTGTGATTTACTTTGACTGGGAGGTGGATGGCCCCTTCCAACATAAATGATTTCATAATTAATAGCAACTATAAATCAGATTAACTTAAACAGAAACTGGGAACCTGTACTTTACTGCCTCAGCTTAGTCTAAATCCTCTAAAAAATGAACTTTACAGTAAAAAAAAAAAAAAAAAAAGCATATTTGAGTTTGTCTTGTGACCTGTGCTTTTGGTCCAGTTTCTATCTCTTTTCTGCATACTCTGGCTTGTTTTTTTCTTCATCCCACAAATATGCATGTATCAGTTAGAAAAGCAACACTGGCTCCATTACGACAAAAACTAAAGTGGTCAAAAATGGACATTTTAAAATACATGCCACAGTGTAATCAAATCCAAGTCTCATGAGTATATATGCATTTTAGTACACCATCAGTCAAACCAGAGGTCAAATGAGAGAAAGCACATCTCATCCTTACTTCACCTGTTGACTATGCAGCCAGCTCCAGAACTGTGATTACCCTTTGGCACTGCAGAATCTACTAAGTACTTCAAAATTACTACCATATGCATAATTATCATGAAGAATCATATCCATCACCACAAATCAATTTAGTTGATTGGGGCGCATGCGTGCACACAAAGTCATGGAAGATGTTTTCTTTGAGTTTTTTTTTCCTCTGAGCTAAATATTAATAAATGCATCTTAGTGGTTTAGTCTATTTTTAGTGGATACAGAAGACCAAGATACTATGCAAGAACATTCCAACAGAAGTGATGGGCTTTTATCTTCAACATTACGACTTTGCATCCAATTGAATTTGTTTTCTTTCTCAAATTTAATTATCTAAAGAAAATTAAGGTGAATAAGTGGAATTCACTTTATTTTATAAAAAGTTGTAGTATAGTTTTACTATCTATTTATGTACAAAAGAAAACAAAACCAGTTGAAATGATTTTCTGCAAACAAGCTTTTTGTCTTACATAATGCCAGAAGGACACCACAGAGTATAGTCTTTAAAAATTCAAAAAAAACCACCAACAACCCAAAATTAATCTACAGCAAGTACTACTGCAGTCAGTTCCAGGCTTTGCATCTTCTTCTTTTCCAAATGAAATTCAAACCTTTTAAATAATTCAAAATATACTAAAAGTTGAAGGAGTTGTTAGGTTTGCTTTTTTTTTAATATATATATATATGTACACACATACACAAGAATAAACTTAACTGGATGTAGGGTTTAAAAAAAGGCAACCCTAAAGAAAAATCAGTATCTGTATTTAGTAGAATAATCTTTTGGCGATACCACCAAACCTCGACCTTTGCGGGCTCCTCTATAAACAGTTTCTATAATGTCAATCATCTCTTGCTTATCTTCCATTGCCCAGTTGATCTTGTTGTTATTACCTGTACCTAAATCAATCATGATGTGTTTGTTCCTTTAGAGGAAGGAAAAAAAAAAAAAAAGCAAGTTAATATTGTATTATAATTCGGACAGAAACTTCCTATCATCCCCAAGAACATTTTGTAGAATTCAAATGAAGCCCTTATAATATAAATGAGCTTGCAAAATCATCTCAAAGAAAGAGCAACCACTCCTGTCACTCAAACTGACTATTTCTGAAGCTAGAATAATGACTGCAAACATGCCCCCAAGATTGCTACCCAGTGCAATTATGCTTTTGCATATTCCTCATTGCCTGTATTTATTACTCACTACTGTATAACATCAAAGAGAGTTTTACACTTGTCAGGTGCACATTATGGCTCATCAATGTAGATACTTTAGCTCCAAAATCAACTTAATGCTTTGGGTGTATCTTTAAAGCAAGTTTAACAAGCTTGACTGCCACATTACTGCAGTATTCTACACAGGGAGCTCAAAACAATGGATAACAAAACCAGCTTTCACTATCAGTAATTTGTACTCTACCATTAAAACACTGTTACTAAGCTAACTGAAAAACAAGCCATTTTCCTATTTAATTGGATTACTATCTTTGTAGAGCAATGAAAATATAAACATCAGTATACTAATATGCATTTAAAAATTATTTACTGCAAAACTGAATTTGACACACCAAAAATTTAACTGCTAGAACCATCAAGTACCTGAAGAAAAACATGACGGTACAGGGATCGTACAACTCGTACATCTTGTTGAAATCTGGTACTTCAGTGATATCCACAAGATAAATAACAGCAAAGTTTTTTACCTAAACAGAAGACAGGAAATATTGAAGTATTATATAACCAAGCTTTTGATTATTTGTACTACCAATTAAAAGACAAACTTTCATTATTGCACCTTATTTTCCCAAAATATTAAGTTATAAAATCACAGTAAACAAGTCTTGCCATTACTTTGAACCACAGCCACCAATTAACATAAAAAAATATTCTTAAATACAGCCAAGATGTTCATTTCACATCCAGCATTAACTGAAAAGATACTATGCTAAATCAGTATCCAGAGAAACAAATGCCCTTTTATATATAACTGAGACCTTGCAGTGATAGGCACAGCTCTAAACAAGTAGAATAACTGCTTTGTGCAAGCCAAGCTGGCACATGTTGCCTCTGTCCTCAACTGCTTATAGACTTCACAAACTTAATGATCTAAAATGCCCTAGAGTGCCCGCCTTCGAGCACTTTTTCCCTCTAAACCATCTGATTTGTTTAACAAGTCTCTTAGAGTGAAAATAAAACTGATAAATTTAATAATAAAGCCTAATAGCTTTTCTGAGGTGTAAAGCTAGAAACAGAGCTTAAAAATGTAATTGATAATGAATAAAAGATCTTGATGAGAAGCTATTCTCTGGGCAATTCTGGTAAAACAGGCTTTCACTTTGCAGAGTTACTGAGTAAACATAGAAGAATCCCTCCCCTTTAATGTCATAGTTAAAGTCTTCATTCGAAAACCAAAACCATGTCACATTTTTGTTTCCTAAATGTAGCATACTTGACATGAAGTGGAAGTAGGAGAAGTTTTAGTTTCTAAACTTAGCTCATACATGTACAGGCATCTAAAATTGCACAAGCATTTAACTGCAAGGTGTATTACCAAATGCTCATGCATTATACCATCAACGCACAACATTGTTTACCCTGTCCAAACGCAATTTCAGTCCTTTCCACCTCAATACACAAAATTACCATCCTGAAATTAACACGTTGTCTAAGATTTACGACAAACTTACTGTTCGTCACAGTACTTCCTACTTGTTAATTATGCTATCAAATGTCCGGAAATGCTTTGTTGAGTTTAACTTCTGCTTATGCAAAGATGTCTTATTTTAGTCCACAAAACAGGATTAGGCTGCACCAGAAAAATATTATATATGGTGTACCCTATACATAAACATCCTATCAGGCACTTTAATTGCGAAAGTATGGAGATGTTTAGTTACAAAAAAACCCAAACAAACAAACCACCCAGAAGCATCAGTAAATAACTTTTTATGGACTTCTGCTTCAAGAGAGTTGGTACATTATAAAAAATCATCACACTTCAGTAAGTATTACTAGCAAGGAAAAGAAAATTTCTTCTGATGTGGAACAGCATTAAAATAGTTCTTTTATGCTTTTTCTGTGCTTTTATGGAGCCAGTTAAACCCTAGACTCTGTCAATCCAATGAAAACATCCCATTTAAGCCATGTTTCAACACAGGCAAGAGGAAAAGCCTTGAAAATCTGATTTAGTCATAATATCAACACCCTCTGAAGTGATCATTTGTGCCCATTAAAGTTTTATATGAAAGATTTCTAAGAAATGTAATGGAATGCTCAGAGTTAACAATTTAGCTGAGAAGCGACTGAAGTTACTCCCTGGTTAGCCTTAGGAGGCAAAAGACAACTGTGCATGGGTTGTTTGCTGTTGTTCTGGGGGATTTTTTTAAAGCCAAAACCTGAAGAGCCATTTTCATTTCCTCCTATCACTTTTTAACTCCATGCGGCTGGCATTTTCAGCAACAGTAGCCCAGCTCTGCCATGTAGGGAAATTTCTACAACACATTCGGCAATTCTGGCAAACTACACAATCTTTGAACAATTATTTAATTTGGAGATCAGAAAATAATTTTAAGTTAAACTAAGCATTAATACAACATTCTTAGGACCTGCTCTGTTCACTGAAAGATTAGTCCAAGGTGATTATATGTTGCACCGGAAGGCCACTACAAAAGCACTGCTAAACTGAAAGATTACTTCCACATAGCACTGGAACAACAAAACTTTAAAAGTTAATTTTACATTATTATACATTTAATTTAGTTGAGCTGTTTCAGAATCAGAAATGCTTGTCATTGGCAATGAACAGTAACAGCCCAAGAACTTAAAAAAGAGAACTAGACTATTCAAGTCTAAGATACTACATGAGTTACTCAAAAGGACTGGATCCCTCAAATCACCTTTGCACAGCACATACACAAGTTACCACCAAGTATCTCAGACATTAACTGAATCTTCTTTCTCTCCTACCTCCTTTTATAGGAGAGAAACTGATGACAGTTGCCTACTCAAAAAGCTTGTATGAAATCTAAAGCAGACCTCAAAGCTTGATACAGACTCTCAAATTTAAATTTGGAACTTTTACAATTGGCTCTGTTCTTTCCCCCTTGCTGGCTTAATTTCCTATCTGACAAGCTTAACCACAAGGATGTGCTTTGTTGAGTTTGGACACTGGCTGCCAAGGTTGCTTGTGATATGGGTCTGGCCGTGCAACACTTCAATATATGCAGCCGCAGGAGGCTGGGATTAAGGCCTAAGAATAAACTAGATAAAAACATGGATAAGAGGCTAAATACGGAAAGGTGACGCAGAAGTGCTGCAGTGAACCTAATATCTACTTGTCTAGACATCACCACGCCAGACAGGGTAGACTTGTCACCAAGAGGTACTTTATTTCAGCAGAAGACAAGCCCTGCAGAACTACTCAAATGTGTCTTTGCATAGTACTGACTAGTTCTACAGCCTGAAGACACACTTACTGTCTCAGACACATTAGAGCCAAGATACAGAAGTACTGAGCCAGCTTCACAGCAGTATAGAGCAATATCCCAGATGGCTTCATACGCAGACAGCTCTGATTCACAAGGCTTTACTTTAGGCTTCATTTTAAGCAAAAGCAATTTTAAGTATTTATGGATTCAGGCTTGTATGTATGTTGGATCTATATGTGAACTAATAAGTCTGTAAAGTCAAACCAAAGCTTAACCTCTCCCCATCCTTTGGGACGTGAATCTACTTCCCAGACAGAGTTGTCAGTTCAAAAAACTACATTCTTACACAGAAAAAGCTTGCTATCGTTTCAAGGCAGTGGCTGCTAAGAGGTTCTCTTTCTGAGTTATAACTATGGATATACTATGGAGGCCTCAGAACAAGAATTAAATACAACTTGGAGCAAGCAAACCGCTCTAAATAAAAGCAGTTGCAGTTGTAGCAACTGGGACTATATTAACATTGTTAAAATAAACCAAAAATTTACTGCCCAGAAAATATGCAACAAATCTTGTGGCATTTTAGAAGTCGAATACATTATAACACAAACTCATTCTGAAAGTACTTAACCTTGTAAAATACAGTGTATCTATAGGATTCTTAACATCAGATACAGATTCTTCAGTCTGATCTTGATACAAGACCACACACTTAGCTGGTAAATAGGAAACAGATGTAGAAAAAAAAATCATACGACAGATTAACTAAATCTCACTTTTCCTCCAAAGTTTTCCCTCCTGACTTTCTTCATTAGGAATGCCATTCAAAAAAGAACTCATGCATTCCTATAACATGAGATTACTACAGCAATATCTGATCAATGACTAGGAAGAATGGTAACAATCATGAAGTTTCCTTAAATTTCTGTTAGGGGTAAGTAATACTTTGCTGTTGTTGTTAAGATTTGGCTCCTATTAGAAGCAAATCTCACAAGCATAACATTACCTTATGGTCCAAAGTGTATACAGCAAATACCTATGCAAATCTGAGACAAGAGTCTATTTTCTCATCTTGCTAACCAGTTTTCAGACAATGTTTTTTATGTTTATATGTCTTTATGGACAAGCAAATCGGGGGGGGGGGGGGGAAGGTACAGGAACTGAGATTAGCCTTTGCAACAAAACATTCAAGTTGAAGGCGTCTAGCAGACTTGCATTACTGAACTGAAAGAGGCTGCAAACACAGTACAAACTTGAGAGTCTGTACTGTACATATTTATTTGATTTTTTTTCTTGCTAATTTTGCTGTAAGTTTAGGTGACAAATTTCCTGGGGAAAAGAGAAAGACATTATACTGCTGAGAAAAATGCTTACAGCTAATAATTTTGAAAACTACAGACATAAGCAAATGGATCAACTTTAATTATAAGCACCAGTAATTCTAATACCAATATGCTTTTTTTTATAGCTTCCTCCTCCCCGCCCCCCCCTTCTTTTCTTCTCTCACTTTTTGTTCATGTAACCTTAGCAGAAAGGCAGAGGCACAACTAATGTCTGAGCAAAAGCCACAGCTATTCACACTTCTGATTATAGTTAAATAAAAGCAGAACATTTGAACAATCCTCCCTAAACCCATACTGACCTATCTGTTAAAGTAAGCTGGTTTCACAAGAGGTTATCCGATTTACAGTATTCAGTCCTAGATAAATCATGGGTTTAAAATATTTCCTAAAAAAAGTGGTATTAAAGTAATTTCGCAGCCAAAGCCCTGTGTTTCAGGGGATGAGGTTTTATAATTGTGAGCCTTCCTTTAAAAAAAAAAAAAAAAAGGGTATGTTTTTAAAAAAGGTGTTCAGAGGAATTTTCTGAAACTTAATTCCTAGCTTTTTGGTTGCAACCCTGACAAAGCAAAAATCTAACATCTTACAATTGTCATTTGTTTTGACACTGAGTGAAACCTAGCTTCTTTTTCATTTAACACAGGAGGTGGAACAGAACATTCAACTCTAAGTGGAGCACATTTCAGTGAAAATAAACCTCTTTGTATTTTCATAGATTGTTCTAGTTTCCTTTCTCCAAAGAGGATTCAGACTGAAAAGTTACCATTTTTCTACTGTAAAGTACAGATAAATATTACTGCTACCCAAAAATACACTGCAGATTGAAAGAATATTGCACCATGGTAACAAATGTAAAATATGGCTACATTTTCTTCAAATGTAGCATGCAGTTACAGCATGTTAACGTTCTGTAATATTCTCTAGCATAAACACCTGTACAATTGGAACTTTTACTCACTCTTTAAAACAGCAGAGATCCAAACATGGCTTGTAAGCAAGAAGATGAGGAAGGATCTCCCCCTTTAATTTGCCATTTCTGCAGAGGGAGATTTTTAGATAAGAAGTTATATTGTTCTTTCTTCCCCCAGTCACCCCTAACTGCCAATATGTCTGCTGTATCTTGCCAAAAGATACTTACAGTACCTGAGCATAAGACACTCCCAACACGTTAAACACAAAACAACTAAACCAAATCATGTCACAACTCCTTACTGTAATCTATCTTAACAGTTAGCTATAGGTTTAGATCTTTCATTGTAGGGGGCTTCGAGACAGATGTTCATTTACTTAAAAACAGCACTAAACCAGAAAGGGGTACACCACAAAAAGAACTCGATATCAAGTTATGCAGTATGTGCACAATTTTACATGAAGATAGTCAACTCCTTTTCCTACCCAAGTTACTGGCTTTTTCCCATCATTTTCTATGTGATCTAGTTAAAGAACAGCTATGAATTTCCTACATCTATTACTATGCAAAACCTTTACCAAATACATGAAAAGGCAAACTATAGCTAATTCTGCATGTTAATAGTTCAAGTTTTCCTTCAAGATCTATCTTCCCTATGTGAGTGATCAGCTTTCAGCAGGCTTTTGGTTTCCGTCTGAGAACAGCTTCAGAGCTTGGCTCCTAAAATTTAATTCAGCCCATACAACTCAATGGAATGCCATCTGTCTCCATGAATACTATCACTGACAGATTAATCAACATCTTCCTGTGCATTTTAGGATGTCACAATTTTTAAGAGTCAAAATGAAAGTAACTTTTCAAGTTGTTTAAATGGAAATCAGAAGCTACTATGCATTCTCATTGTAAAGTGAAAGTGCTGCATTATCTAGAACCACAGCAGTTCTGCTATCAAACACTTGTTTCTGCCTGAATGCTGACGTTCATTAAATGATGGATTATTAACGGGCAATTTTAATTTCAGAATTTGCAACACTCATTTCCCCACATTAAATACTACAAACACCAGGGTAGTCAATGACTTTAGGAGTCGCTCACAAATCAATCAAGCAGCTTTCTCGGTGCCTCCTAAAGCTGGAATACCTTTCCAGAAACCGAGTTATAACCTGCCTCAGGCTTTGTATAAACCCTTTGAAACAGCGCAGAAAACAATCGCCTGACATTACAGCCCCAGTTTACCTTCTCAGCAATACTGTACAAGACTTCATCCATCTTCATGCAGGTCGGGTCCCAGTCATGCCCAAAGCGGATGACCACGACTCGGTCCTCTTCCGAGAGGATGGCCTGGTCCACCTGCCAGCCATTGTGCAAGTGCGGCAACATGTACGACATCCTGCAGGGCGGCTGGCGAGCCTGCGGGACAACAGCGACCGTCCGGGAGCTGACAGACCGGCCTGCCTTCGCACGGTACCCCCGCCACACTCCCACAGGCCTAACCCTCCATTCAGCGGCACAGCAGTGCTGCCATCCCACTGGGCCCCTGAGATGCGCCGGCGGCCATCGGCGCCAGGGCCGGGTCCCCTCACCCCCATCCCTGCCCGCGCCCCCGCCCCACTCAGCCGCACGCCGTACGCGCCGCACCCCTCGGGCTTCCTTCTCTCGGTGAAACGGGAGGACGGAGCCACAGCGTGAGAGGAAGCGGAAATAACCGCATGGCTTTCCCGCCGCCGGGCACGCTGGGAAAGGCGCTTTCGGGCCGGGGTTTTCGTCAGTGGGCGGGGCAGAGCGCGCCGAAGGGGCGGGGGGGCGCCGCTTGGACCGCACCACGCCAAGTGTGATGGAGGGCTCGGAGGGGTGGTGGGACGGCTGCGACCACTAAATAGGGAGTGCTTGAACACACTGGGTAAATGTTTCAGTTGAAGTCATCGGCAGCGAAACCTGGGCATTTCAGCGTTAGGTTACAGAACTGAGCTGCCTGTTAAGATTGCGCATCCCAGGCCGATCTTGCTTTCTGGAGGGCTTGTATGTTATTCTGGTGCTGTTATTCTTTACTGTGAGGGTGCTGAGGCGCTGGCACAGGTTGCCCCGAGGAGCTGTGGCTGCCCCATCCCTGGCAGTGTTCAAGGCCAGGTTGGACGGGGCTTGGAGCAACCTGGTCTATTGTGAGGTGTCCCTGCCCATGGCAGGGGGTAGAATAACTTAACGTCCTTTCCAACCCAAACCTTTCTGTGAGTCTACAATTCTAATCTACACCATGCATTCCTTTAAAAGGTTAGATTGCAGAATAATATGTGAAACGCATATTTGTCACTATAAAAAATCCACACAAACTTGAGCTACGGCTTGGGGAACAGTCCTAGGACAATTTGTACCAAATTACTTGGCCCTAGAACTGCGGAGCTCTGCAAACGCTATTAAACCCTCGGTTTGTGAGCCCTCTTTCTAGACAACTCAGTGCCGACAGCATGAGAGGAGAAGGCAGGTCGTCTCGTCTTGTTACAGACAGAAGCACTTTGACCCCAGCTGCCCCCATAGAAGCAGCCGCTGATCCCCTACCCAGACCGAAGACCTACCGGGGCTGCGGGGGCAGGGCGGATGTGCCCCGTTGGGATCCGGAACTGTGAGCTGCCAGCTCCGCCCGCTGCACTTCAGTCGAGCTGCGACGGGAACACCGGAAAGTAAGTAAGAAACAAGCCCCAGTTAATTCTGCGGTGGTTACTTAAGTAATTCACTTTCTTCTACAGAGAAATTAGTGGGATGGATTTATTCTGGGTAGCGTATGCTATTGGCTGCAACTTGAAACAGCTAGGGAAAATTACATAGGTTTATTTCATACAATCATAGAATCACAGAGTGGTTTGGGTTGGAAGGGGCCCTAAAGCTTATCCAGCTCCAACCCCCTGCCACAGGCAGGGACACCTTCCACCAGACCAGGTTGCTCCAAGCCCCGTCCAGCCTGGTCTTGAACACTGCCAGGGATGGGGCAGCCACAGCTCCTCTGGGCAACCTGTGCCAGGGCCTCATCACCCTCACAGGAAGGAACTTCCTCAGATCTCATCTCAGTTTCCCCTCTGTCATCTTAAAGCTGTTACCCCCTGTCCTGTCACTCTTACAGCAAAATCATTTTGCTATGATTTGGCTAACTCCAAAGTGATACAGCAAGTAAGTGGTGAGTCACACTCAACAAAAGAAGTAAGGCCACTTCAAGTTAATACTCAAATGCAGTCCTTTATATTTGTTACTTGTCTCAATCTGAGTCATATTTTCAAAGTTTTCTCTGCCATGCAAGCACCGGAATTTAGTACACGTACATTATATCAGCGTTACATGTGATTATAGATGTACGCATACATGGAAGTATATAATCTTACGTAAATAGAAACTGTGAGGAGCAACAGCTTTAAAGAAGAGAGTTAGCAATATTGCAGATGATACTAGTCCAAAACCCAAATTGTCATATCCTTAACAGGTGTTACATTTAGCACACTGGACAAGACATCCAATAACTGAGTAATAATGCTCAGAAGCAAAGCGTTCAGTCTGTTAAAACCAATTCCCTTGATGTTTGGCCAGTCAAATTTGGCTTGTAAATGTATTCATCCAGCTATTGCTTCTCATGGACATCGCTGTCACAGGAGAAGTCCTGTGGATTACAAACAGAGGTACAAGACATACTCCTGTAGTGCTGGAGGACGAACAATAAGTGCTTCTCACACCAAGGTTGGTATCTGGAGAGCCCCCTTACCTCTAAAAGGTTCCTTTAAATGTTTTTAGTTTACTGCTATCAATATTTTTAAGATTGTACCTGGACTAGCAGAACCCTGGTTCTTGAACCAAAGCTGTAGTCTGTTAGTGACTCATGTGAGCATCAAACATGGCTGAAATTGTGGTGAACTAGCATGTCTGCACTAATGAAAGATCAATTACGCTCAGCTAGCCTGTTTCTAATGCACCAGCTGGTTTGTTTAAGGCTAAACCAGCTCTTCCTGCTGAGACAAGGGGGGGGCACAAAATTACAAAATGGAATATATAAACCTTTAGAATCAGTTTTAAGTAATGTTAAGTTTGATGGCTTTGTAACAGTAGCAATGGAAAATTACTGAGGTGCATGATACGTAGAAAAAAAATAGAGTACAGCTAGAGAACATACTGAGAATTCTTGTACAAGATAAATCGTTATAGTTGATGTAGTTTTAAGAAAAACAGTCTAGAAGAACAGTATGCAAGGATAAGGAGTATCTGGGAATGGCAGGTGTCCAGGATGGGTTATGGTTAAACTATCTGATAAGTAGGAGGACAGGAGGATTATTATGTCTGTGGTGGTAACAAACCAATTAAGCTGGTATAAGCATCTACTGCGCATGCTTCAAAGGCTGCCAGAAGTGATGAAGATTGTTGGAAGAAGTAAACGACCCTCAGAGACCACCACGACAATTCTGTACGCATGCGGGGAGCTTTCTGGAAAATAATGTAATCCATACGTAACCTCATGAATATGTATGTATGCCCAGTGGCTGTAAGGGCGGCTTGCATGGCAATACAGAGACACACGTTAGGAGGAGCTATCCCCCGTGTCTCCCGGCGCCACAATAAAGAATACCTGCTTGTCAGATTGAAAACTTCGTTGGCAAGTTTGTTCCTGTAGTTTTCTCCGAATCACTGCGCTGCACTGTGGCTTCCTCATGGATCACCTGTCTGCTTGTGAAGTTTAGGAAGTGCTTCTAAAATTAATGTAGATCTGACTCTGACCTTCGTAAGTGATGTAGTGTAATGGAGGAGAGAGTGGTGATGAAAGCAAATGGTGTAATACAGTGCTGCCTTACAGCATAAGGTTTAGTTGATGTCCAGTCTAAGTAACTTGCTGCAGGAGCATCAGGTTGTGATTATCAAGAATCTGGACAACACTCACAGTATGACATCAGATCTTGTCTTTTATTCTGTGTGTAATTCACTCTGTAATACAAATCTAGTTTATCCTTCTAAGGTCATGTTGTGTAATACTGTAAAAGATAACACAGATTACAGCTGGGGAAATGTGCACAATTTTCACAAGCATATGTGGGTTCAGCATACTTCAGTTGGCAAGAAATAGATATATTTAAGAACACGGTATTCCTTTGCAATATGCTTGCGCTATTCATCTCATTGCTTTCTTTGCTGCTGTTCAGAACCAGTGTTACCAGAGACACTGCTCATGGTGAACTGCAGACCTGTCCTAACGTGGAGGCTCTTTCTAGCCCATGTATGGCAGCAGATGGGAACTGAGGCAGAAATGCAGGTCAGGGCCAGGATAAAGAAGCGGTGTTGCTGATGTTGAGGTTGTAAGCATTTAACAGCTGCAGTTGGGATAAGCCTGAGTTTGCTCAGGAAAAGGGAAAATACAATTTGTCAGAAACTTTCAATATGCATTGATACTCTTTGTTACAGGTTTGAATTCTGGTTACTTAGTGAAGGCTTGTGTAAGAGGACTTAAGCAGCAGAATATCTCTGCCCAACATTGTGTGCCCAGATTAAATCAGCACACTTGTGAGAAGTAATTCTGATTCTGTTAGAGCAACATCAGGTGTCCTGGACCCAAGTCTAGAACACAGTATGTGATAAAGACCTAAAGTGATTGGAGCACTGCAAACAGAATTGTAAGAAACTAAGTACAGCTGTGTTTAAGGCATGCAGCAAATCTTCAGCTACCATTTTTTGTAGCTGTAAGGGCTACCTCTAATTGGGCATACGGCTATCTGTGGAGCTCCTATCTTATTGCAGCATACAATACATTTGCAGAGTATTGCAGAGAGGACTAGGCTCAAAACCATCCAGCAGGAGCAAAGGTCTAAACAACTCTGTAGGGGAAAAGTTCTAGTATTGATATCGGAATAGACTCCACAACTTGTTAAAGTTGTAAAGTAAGTATGCCTTTATTCAGCTGAAGATGCACGGGGGATTACTCCTCCAAAGGCATGCGTGCCTCAGTGTTGTTTTCCTCTACATTTATCCTCTAAAGTTCTACATATGCATTAGGTTACACAATATGCCTATACATATTTCTGTCCTATTCCCGCTTCGTATTATAATGAGCTCAAAGGTCTTCTGCTCATGCGCAGTGCCTCCTGGGGGTCGTGGGCAGGGGTCTTCAGATGAAGTAAACGAGTCTTCCTCTGACCTGAACTTTTCACCCTTGGTCCTCTCACATGCTCCTTAGGAGCCTGGATGAGTCTGGTCTCTGTCCAAATGGTTTTTGCTGAAACTTAAGTAACTGTTTTCCTTATTAGGAGGTTATGTTCTGGTACTGCCTGGTAAAGCACGATAGGTATTTGCTGAGCGATACATCTGTTAAGCAAGCTATGTAACTTAAGCAATACTCCCTTGTACAACCCCCCCTGTACAATTTACCTAACCCCCTTGTACAACCCCCCTGTACAATAGTCCACATCAGTATGAACAACTCTATTGTCAGTGGTACTTACCATGTGTTCTTCCCCACTGGTTCAGCATGGAGGCATGGGTATGCTAAATTTTGCAAGAGGTAAGTTCAGGTACAGATCTAGATGTTTAAAGCATTGAAGGGCAAGCAGCGTGGTAGCTGGCTCTTCATCATGCAAATTTCTTAGGTTTAACCCATTCCTGACAGATGTTTGTCAGACCCATCTGAGCCTCAGTGCCTCCCTACGCTATCTGCAGCTTCACCAAGTATCATCAATAGGCAAGAAACTTTGAGTAGCTTTCTATCAGCCTTTGTTTCATACCACTGCTTATAGAAATGAATTTGTGGATAAGGCTGAGAAGCTAC